CTATCTATAAATAATTATAGATTTATCTGTTTTTAGTGTGCACAAAACACATAATTTTGTATTTTACTAGTTATTCTTAACAAAAGCAAACATAAAAAGAAAAAAAAAATCAGACATGAAAGTGGATTAGTAACTGAATTCTGTGTTCTTTTATTTTTTGCCAGAATGTTCCTCCAGACTTGTCTGTGTGTGGCTTCGTTCTGGCTCAGTGTCTCTCAGTCCGAGCCCTGCAGGAGATGTTGGCCCATGGTGGACAACTGGCAGCAGAGGTGAGGATCTGTTCCCTTCTATTCCCTCTCAGTGCACCTTAATGAATGGATCTCTTGGCTCATCTGAGGGATAACTCACTTTATCTTATACAGTCCGTGTTTAAATTAATCAATTTCCCCTTACATGTCTTACAATCAGACATTCATCCTTAAACCTAAAGTTTTTAGATTATACATTTTCTCATAAAATTTTAGCTTAACATGTTTTTTCCACATGCCTAATTTTTTGGTTTGAGGGTTTAGTGAAAAACAAATGATGGACTTTATGTAGCGTTGTAACATCTAAAAATCAGATCTGAGGTTATATAAGTTGTGTTATTAAAGCTTTCTAATTATAGGCACCCTTGATCGAGATGTCAACACAAAACTGAAAATATGTATATAACACTGTCAGGTTTATAAAAAAACATGTAAAGTCTCAGGTTTATAAATAATTGCTTTAACATCATCTTTGGCAAACTCTTGGAACCCACAGTGTTACATTTGTTTATAGCCATCTTTTGCCAACAATACATCACTTTGTCGTAGTTTTGCCATCACTTCATCACAGTGGAATTGGTTTAAAACTTTTTTGTTTGTCTTTACCGATGCAGATAAAGATGTGGCCTCCATCATTTGCATGCAATCTTGTATATAAGTTGACCTTGTCTCTCAGAGGAAACAGAAAGTCATAGATTTCTTATTCAAAGATCTTGGATACTTTGGATTTAAATAGAACAAGCTTCAATTCATCATTTAATTTAATTTATTTTGGTTACCACGGATTTCTGAGGTTCTATGTATATTTTCAAGGGTTGCAAATAACATTTATTTTGCAATTCGATTAATCTGTCGACTATTTTTTTGATTGATAAATTAATAATCGTATAACCAAAGATTTTTTTACAAAATAAAACCAGGTAAAACTCACACTTTTCCTCCTGAGGAGTTCTGGATAGAGCATATTGACAGACAATTTTTTTTTTT